TGCCTTTTTGCACCATGTCTCTCCCACACTGTTTACACTTTGATCACTGCTGTAGATGGAAATGATCTTTTTCATTACCAAGCAGCAGTGATCAAACTTTCAGAAAGCTTTACAAACAAAACTTTCTTTCTTATGCACTCTGCATATGCAGAATGACCATAACGTTTGTCTAAGTCATTAGCAGAATAATGCTAATGTTGTTAGGAATCCAGTGTGTGTGGGCTGTGTTTGTTTTTTGTGTTCCCTCCCTCAACCACCAGGTGGCGCCCTGTTCTCGTTGGTCCTCCCACACACCTGCGGCTGGTTGTGCTCATTACTGAGGACTCTTAAGCTGCTGACTGCCACTACCTCGTTGGCAGAGTGTTTGCTAGTTTTGGGTACCCTAGCCAAGCTGAGTTTAGCTGAGTCAAACTGAGTCTTTGTCTCTCTGAGATCTAACCTTGTTTTCGCCTTTGCCTTTTCAGCAGGAATTCATCCTGCAAACTGGATTTTTGACCTTCTCCCCCTGGAGCTTCACACTGAGCAGGGGATAAATCTCCACACGACCCGTTCAAGTTCTCCTGGAAATCTTAGTGGTAGTCCGCTCCATTGCTCCTAAAGGAACCAACCAAACCTAAAACCTGTCCGCCTTCCAACGAGCCCCCCAATCTCTGGACAAACCCACACCCACCGGATTCTGGGAAGAGAACCTTTTTCTGCTAACGTGAGTCCCGCTCATCTCTGATTTTTTGCAAGATGTTGTCCAAAGTTCCCACGGACCCTGAACTAACCTCTGAACGTCCCTTCTCACTTCCAGTTCCGGTTCACCAGCTCTCTGAGTTACCCTGGATCAACCTTATTGATTATTTCTATAAACCTGTTCAACTCTTACTCTGCTTCTCTGAGTGGTTTCCTGCATGTGGGTCAGATCTCTTAAAAACATCATGACAGCATTTGATGCGGCCAGAGGAGGAGGGGAAGAAAGTACAGCACCCTACCGACCTACAGCCAACCCAGGATCAGTTTTTATTCACGTTCTTATAAAGTTCATGATCAACATGAATTATAACAACGTCCCAAATGATCAAAGCTGAAAGTAACATCAGATCTGACAGAAGATCCGATCTTTGGAAGTCATAGAATTAGATCAACTAGTCCATTGGTTGGTCGGCGGGTTCACCATCCATCCATCCATCCATCCATCCATCCATCCATCCATCCATCCATCCATCCATCCATCCATCCATCCATCCATCCATCCATCAGCAGAAAGGGGGTAAATAAGACATTTTCTCAGCCATAATCGGTGGCTCAGCTCTGCTTCTGATGTAAATCCTAATTTAGCACCAGAAGGCATTCAGCACATATTAATCTCTACTATGGAGGCTTTATTTATACATTAGAAGGAATAACAGCAGAGCTTCCTCCTCCCACTGCACAATGACATCAGTGGTATTTTCTATAAAAGTTTTTTTCTTTCTTTACTTGGATTAGACTTGGATTAAGAAAGTTTTTCACTTGAGAAAACACAAACTATCATCCTCCATTGCTGGACTTGTTTCATCCTGTTTTATAATCCTTATCTAGATTCAGTGACAGAAACTTGTAGCCAGTCACATGTGAAAATTCCTCGCTCTGTGAATCACACCCAGCTTTCCTTGGTGTCTAATTAGATGTGATGCAGTGTCTGTGGCAGAGTCCTCTCTGTCAGCAGTTTGGTCCCAAGAAGCTTCTCTAACTCATGATCCTCAGATTTCCCAAGAGAGGCTTTAGATCTTAGACTGTGCCTGCCTGGTTGGGTTCTGCAGCAGCGTGGAACCTCCACAAGCCTTAGGGAGAACAGTCAGCCATCCCCGCTGTCCCAGCAGATACACTTTCAGTATTTAACACAGACATGGTCTCATCTGGGGACGGCTGTAGCTGAGCTGGTAGTGGTGCTCAGCTCACTGCTGTGAAAACTGTAGCTGAACATAACATTACGGGAGAATATCACTGATTCTGGAACTGGTCCTGGAACTATTGCTCATTTTATCACATA